ATCAGATTTCAGTCAGCCACGTCCAAGCCATGCCTCTGCTGCTTATAGCGACTCTAAACTTTTGGAAGTCAAAGAAAATTTACTTATTAAGGTGGATACATATCTTCGTTGTGACTATTCCTTGACAGTTTTTTAACTGATACCTCGGCCTCTATGTTGTAGAATGCAGATGAATATATTTTTACTTGTTAATCGTACTTAATTTATTATACTATTCTGTAAAGGAATTAATTACGGTCTATGTTATGTACTCATCGGTGGCTGTTTTTTTTATTGTATGTTTGCATTTAGGAGATCGGTGCTGATGTTTTAAACGGCTCACGTTCAGAGACAGTATCGCCGAGACAGTATTTGTATGGGCAGAGTTCAGCAATCGCTTCAAGTACTCTTTAAATTTTTTTGTAATTATTATGCACTGTCCGTTGCTCTTACGGCCTTTAATTGTTTTAAAACTTTCATGGATACGACTTTGATATTTTTTCAGAAAAATGCTGCATTGTTTCGACCCTGTCGTTCTTAAAGGAACGAAACAGAGTTCCTCCTTTCCTGGCGTCGCCAGCAAAGAAGATCAAAACAGTTCAGAATAATGAAATTGCTAGTGTTGTCCATGAAGTAAGCTAAGTGGTAATGCAGCGTTTTTCAAATTTTTGGTTCACCATTGGCCAGTTACTAGTTTTAATGTTAACAGTAATATTGCTCGTCATGCCTACGGAATTTCCCAGCATATAGATTTTATTTAGCATGCTATTAATATTTTAAGCTATCCTTGGCTGTTGTCAAAATACAGTAGTGAAAATGATTCTCATGCATGTCAAATCGTCGAGGGCAAATTTAGGAAAAGCTTAGTGCTGACAGCTTGTTATTAATGTGTAGATAGTGCTCAGATTCACGTCTTTGCTCCTGTTTAGACGTCTCTTTGCCTGGATGAACAGACTATATCTTAAGTTTTTTTATGACAAATTCTGCTTGTCAGTTTATTTAATGCCTTTTGGTCACGTTGACTACTATAGAACTGCTTTTGCGTTACATTTTGCTTTTATGATGAGATTTTTTCATTTCTATTTTTCTAGCGTTTGTTTTTCATTGCCTTTTCCATTTGTTCAGTTGCATTTTGTATGGGTATATGTTTTTATTTCTGCCGTCGATTGCATTACATGTTTCCTTGATATACATGTTACGACATTAGCTAGGAATTCGATCTACCCATCCATGCTTCTCGTTTGCTTCCTTTCTCTTCATATTGATTACTAGACTTTATGGAATCGGTTCAGACTCGAGCGCGTCGCTCTCTCCCACTGATTGACGATCCTTCATTTCTTATGCCGTTTTTGACTTGACAGATCAGAGGATGTTGTATGTTTACTATGGTGAGGTATTAGTCTGAGGGAAAGTTAAGATCAAGAAGAACCATGGTCTCCATATGAACCCTATGATTCAACATTACTGAACTTCTGTTGCGCCAACGGCCTGCCCATAGTGACTTCAGTCTTTCAACGTCAAATTCAGCCTCATGTAAATACTCTTCTTGTGGGTTATCTGATGCTTCAGACAGTTCTGAAGCACTGCCAAATGCATTTCTGATGCTATCCTCTTTTTCACTTTTTGTGTTAGAGTAACATTTCTGAAAGCTATCTTCTGAAACTAAACTTACTTTATACAGTGTGTGGTAATATCCTTGATCATAGGCGAGAGGCAGCATGCAACCATGACAAACACGGCAGAAACAGATCTTTCAGAGAGTAATATTTCCTTTTACAATACGGTAATGGGCGTCATATAGCGTAAGTGCTGAAAGGCTGCGGATACAGCGGACATCACAAACCAGGGATGTTCTGCTCATACAAACTGCCAAACGAAATTATCACACATGCGCACACACAGACAGCAATCTGAATACGCTAATGATATTTGATCCTCCTTCGGCTTCAGCCGGTTTTCTTTTACTTCTTTGTCCTCTTCCAAAAGTTTCGGAAACGCTGCATTTTAACATTCTTTGTCCCGTTACAAGAAACCGTCTGATTTCTTTGCAGTTGAAAGAACTTTCCGGACGCGGTGATGATAAAACGAAACTATGGCTGAAAAATATAATCAAAATTGAACAGGTATTTGTCTTATTTCCTTTTCAGCCCTTTGAGTGGTACCTTATACATGTTTGATTTTTACTTCAATATTCGTAATTTAATCGTAATTTATTTTGGAACAGATTTAATCGACCTTCAAATTGTAGCTATTTGAATCGCTATAAAGAAGATAACGCGGTAACAGAGTAAGAGATCGAACAATTGAGGCATATAGATTTTATTATTTCCTGCAAATATGTGAATGAATTATGATTAAATCAAGATGCGCGCATTTTTTCAGTGTTTTCCAGCATTTTGACTGATACTGAAATGTCCTTTTTCATAAAAAAAACTCGCCAGTCCTTGTCTGGACCGATACGATATAGAGACTCTCATCATGAGAAGAACTGGGAGGAGAGTCTGAGCGATATTGGATTTTGTTATATTCATTCAATTGATCTATCTCTTTCAAGGACTACTTATCCTTTCGGGTCATGTATGCAGACGCTTTAGGTAGTGTCTCTAACGTTCTTGTTCTATCGTTTGAGCTTCGCCAGAAAATGGCCTCAATTTTGAGAAGAGTACGTCTTGACACTTACCTCAGTTCATTCTCTGCTGTCGCTCAGATGTTCAGTCAGTCATTTGGGCAAGTTGTGCCTGTTTCGCCTTCTTTTTTGGAAGCATTCACAAGATGTGCCCAAGCCATCGCAACTGTGACTTCTCGTACTGGATAAGCAGCAGATGTGCATCAATGCTCTCTCTCTATCTCAGATATTTGCGCTTTGGAATATGTGGCGAAGCGTCAGCCTAGCGATTCATCTCATAAAGCCTATTTCAGCAGCTTCTACCCGAAATCGAAGTTTTCAGTCATGGTCCATCACTCATTACTGTAGATTAGCATGGGGACGATGATCTAATTGATCACCGAGAGCTTAGTATTCAGACTTAGCTCTGCTTTAGTCAGAATGGATCGAGCTAGTTTACGTAGAACGCTGATGACATTTTCAATCCGCCGGTAGATCTTTTCCAATTTTCAGTCATCTGTAAATACGATCCTAAGGTACTAGAATTTTTCCGTAAATTTGAAGCGAGCGATGCGCAGGAGAACGAGAAAGTACTAGGCTTTTCGTTTTAGATACGTTCACACGTATGCCGGTCTCGTCGCGCTACCAGCCTTTCCTGAAAGTTTTGTAGATCAGTTTCAGAAGATGCCAACAAAACAAGGTCGTCTGCAAACAGTAGCCTTCTCGTCGCGGCCTCTAAATTAATACAGTTATCGCCTTGGCTGCTTCTGATTATTCCATCCATGTGCAACACAAACAGGAGAGGGGACAGGACGTAGCCTTCGAGGAGACCAGTGCCAACGTTGAAAGGTTTCGACTTAACGTCATTAACTCTAGTGCTGCGCCTGCTATAAGCATAGAGTGATTGAATGGCCCGTAACAACTGGCCGTCGATCGCGTATGTTCTCAGGCACGCCCATAGATTGTTGCGTGGGAATAGGTCATGAGCTTTCTCTTGGTCCACAAAGCATATATAAACTGAATGACCGAACTCCCACAATTTCTCATACTTTTGACGATGCTTCAGCCTGACGTGAAGCCTCACTGCTCTTCTTGGATGTTAGA